CCTGCAGTGTGGTGAGTGGGTGAGTGTTGTTGTGACCTGCAGTGTGGTGAGTGGGTGAGTGTGTTGTTGTGACCTGCAGTGTGGTCAGTGAGTGAGTGTGTTGTTGTGACCTGCAGTGTGGTGAGTGAGTTGTTGTGACCTGCAGTGTGGTGAGTGAGTGTGTTGTTGTGACCTGCAGTGTGGTGAGTGGGTGAGTGTGTTGCTGTGACCTGCAGTGTGGTGAGTGAGTGAGTTGTTGTGACCTGCAGTGTGGTGAGTGGGTGAGTGTGTTGTTGTGACCTGCAGTGTGGTTAGTGGGTGAGTGTGTTGTTGTGACCTGCAGTGTGGTGAGTGGGTGAGTGTGTTGTTGTGACCTGCAGTGTGGTTAGTGGGTGAGTGTGTTGTTGTGACCTGTGGTGTGGTGAGTGGGTGAGTGTGTTGTTGTGACCTGCAGTGTGGTGAGTGGGTGAGTGTTGTTATGACCTGCAGTGTGGTGAGTGAATGTGTTGTTGCGACCTGCAGTGTGGTGAGTGGGTGAGTGTGTTGTTGTGACCTGCGGTGTGGTGAGTGGGTGAGTGTGTTGTTGTGACCTGCAGTGTGGTGAGTGGGTGAGTGTGTTGTTGTGACCTGCAATGTGGTGAGTGGGTGAGTGTGTTGTTGTGACCTGCGGTGTGGTGAGTGGGTGAGTTTGTTGTTGTGACCTGCAGTGTGGTGAGTGGGAGAGTGTGTTGTTGTGACCTGCGGTGTGGTGAGTGGGTGAGTGTGTTGTTGTGACCTGCAGTGTGGTGAGTGGGTGAGTGTGTTTTTGTGACCTGCAGTGTGGTGAGTGGGGGATGAGTGTGTTGTTGTGACCTGCAGTGTGGTGGTGGAACACGTTGTGGTGAGTGTGTTTTAGTTGGCTCGATGGGACTTAGTTCTTAACAATTGGCAGAGACCAAGTCTATTATAATGTGTGTCTAGTCCTTTAATCACGATCGCGCTGAGCGGCAGGGTGGAGCAGTGGTAACATTGGTGCCTCACAGTGAGAAGGCTCTGGGTTCGAATCACGATTTTGGCACATTATCTGTGTGGAGTTTGTGGGTTTCCTCGGGTTTTATGGTTTCCCAATGCTGGACATCGACAAGCAGATAGATACATTTGAATTCCGCAGATTGCAACATTGCCTCCCACTGCGTCTCGGTGAGGGTTTTTTGGGTTACCAGGCGTAGTGATGGTAGACTTTACACCTGGTGGTTGTGGTTGTGGTGGTGTTTGTGGTGGTATTTGTGGTGGCAGAAGTATCTGTGGAAGAAGTGCAAGGAAAAGTGCCGGACAGAAATGATCTCCCAAGGGAGGTGCTGAGGGAGGGTGGCATCTGTGTGCAGACTGCCCTACATTATCTCATCACAACTGTCTGGACCACAGGACCGGTTCCACAGGATTGGAAGGATATCCTGGTGGTCCCCCCTATAGTTGTTACAGACTGTAACAACTACAAGGGCATCTTTCTTCTCATTATGCCGGGAAAGGTCCTGGCAAGTATTATTCAATATCACCTTGCCAGGCACGCTCAGGAGACACTTGCTGAGGAGAGGCTTGCGGAGCCCCCATGTGGTTTCAGACCAGGGTGGTCCTGCAAGGGTGCCATATTCTCCATCTGCTACAGCAGGCCTATAATACCATCAACAGGCCAGGGCTGTGGGCAGTTCTTCGTGCTTTCGGAGTCCCTGACCCTCTGCTCACGATCATTAAGGGTCTTCATGATGGTAGGCGGGACCGGGTAAAACTACGTGGCCAGGAGTCGGAGCCATTCCCTGTTCACCTTGGGGTGCGACAGGGATGTCCTCTGGCTCCCACATTATTTAACATCATCTTTGGCCATGTAGTTTGAGACATTTTCCATGGCTGTGCCGGTGCAATTTCCATCTGGTACGGATACAATGGGAGGCTGATCGATGCCCGAGTGTGGTCGAGGGATGGCTCCCTATTGCTCAACCATGTTATGTATGCCGATGATCTGGTGATTGCTGCTCACTCAGGAGGAGTTGGAAGCGCTGCTGCTGAAAATGGAGTGTGCCACTAAGAGGTGGGGTCTTACCATCAGCCCAACCAAAACTAAGCACCTGCCTGGGTATTTTGTGCCACCACACACTCCACCCCCTCAGCTCCCCATTGGTGAAGGAGCAGTTGTGGAGAGAGTGGAGAGTTTCCCATACCTGGGCAGTGTGCTTATAACCACCTCCGGTTTGACAGCAGAGGTCTCGCTCCGAATCAGTCGGGTGACATTATATTTGCATCAACGCTTTGTGGAAGCTACCTGGTCTGTCGCTCCTCATGAAGCTTCCGCTCTTCTCGGCCACAGTCATGCCCTCCCTTCTGTACGCGTGCGAAACGTGGACCCCTCTAATGGAACATCTGAGCTAGTTAGAAACATTCAGGCTGGCATGCCTACGATCCATCCTGGGTTTAACCAGGCTGGATTTATGAGGAGCTCACAAATCCTTGAAATATCTGGACACCTTCCCTTCAATGAGCTCTTCCGACAGGCAAGGCTGCATATCCCAGCCACCGCATGCCCAAGCAGCTTCTGTTTGGCCGCATAGAGGGGGCTAAATGGGCACGACATGGCCTGGAGAAGAGATGGACTAATGCGGTACAGGAGGATGTGGCTGCTGAGTAGACTTGCCGATGACTGGTACCAGAGGTGTCAAGATGGGCCTCTATGGAGGAGGCTCGTGAAGGACGCTGCTACTGGGCAGTTGGAGGCAATCCGTCCTCCAGTAACAACGGGGGGCAGAGGAGCGATGCTCTCAACGAGCAGAGCGCCGGGCGGCAAGTTTGCACGGTAGGGGGTACAGTTGATGCATCTACCAGTCATCTCAGTCAGCCAACCCATGGCACCTGCTGGGTCTGTTCCGTGACCTCCTGTCAGCAGCGAGCCTTCGACACTTCACTTGGCCTCAAAGTGCACCTGGCCTGGCACAGGCGCCGTGGTGACGTCAGCGTCACTTAGTGGCGAATGGCGGGTGTTGGTATTGGTGGTGTTTATGGTGGTGTTTGTGGTGGCTCTGGTTGTGGTTGTGTTTGTGGTGGTTGTGGTGGGGGTTTTGGTGGTGTTTGTGGTCGTGTTTTGGTGGTGTTTGTGGTGGTAGTTGTTGTGTTAGTGGCGCTAGTTGTTGTGGTGGTTGGTGGCGATAGTTGTGGTGGTGGTACTTGGGGTGGTGGTAGTTGGGGTTGTGGTTGTGGTGGTCACATCACATATGATGGTGATGGTCATGGTTGTGATCACCAATGTTGCTCATCATGACTGGTAATAGCGATGAGTCGTGGTCACGTGTGGTGGTGGTGGTGGAGGTGGTGGTGGTGTTCGTGTTGGTTGTCAAGAGCCTTGGTTGTGGTCACGTGTGGTGGTGGTGGTGGAGGTGGTGTTCGTGGTGGTTGTCAAGAGCCTTGGTTGTGGTCCCGGATCGTGTTGCTCGTCACCAGCGGTAAGGGTCACGAGCCGTTGTGGTTGTTTGACTTCCCTGTCATTCGGTCGCCCACCTGAGGGTGGCCCCTCTTGCGAACGCGACTCTGCTACCCCCTCTCTCTCGAGCTCTCAGTGCCACCGTCTCTGTGCCATTGTCTCTGTGTCATTGGCTCTGTGTCATTGTCTCTGTGCCACCACTTCCGCGTGCCCGGCACAATGACGGCGCCCGGGACAGTGATTGATTGCGACCGATCCCCGATTGCGCCACTGATGATGATGATGTCACGATCGGAAATTGTTGGGGCTGCCGGTGATGACGTGCGGATGACACACACACACCTGAACGCCAATGAAGGCAATGAAGAAAGACAGTGACTACTGATGATTATAATCGTGGGGGAAGCCTTCATCCAGTAGTGGATAGATAATGACATAATGATGGCAAGGCTTTCATCTAGCAGTTGACCAACATGGCTTACGATACTGATGATGATGACAATGATGATGCAGAACCTTCATCCAGCATAATCATGATGGTGGTGGTTGAATGATGCAAACTTATTTTGATTTATTATAATAATGGATAATAATAGTGATTAAATGATGATTATGATTATGACGATGATGATTATTGGTTGATGATTTGTAGTGCGTGATCACAGTAGTTAATGGCGAGTGAAGGATGGCGATAACGATTGATGGCGGTTGATCAGGTTGGTTATGGTTGACCACGGTGGCGGTGGTCGGATGGCCGCAGCGAGCGACGGCGCTGACCTTCCCGGGCCCTGTGCCCGTGCCGAGTTGAGCTCCCTCGTGTTTTTTTGCTGCTCCGCGTGCCTCTGCTAATTACCACAATTACATCGGCCCGGCTATTTCCGCAGAGCCGTGCGCTGCGATTAAATCGCTTTGAAAGGCGAAGTTCGTGCGACTCGGGGCTGTGATGGTGCACAGCTGTCGTGCCGCGTGCGTTAACCCTTCGGCTGCTGCCCGCGAACCACCCTCCAACTCAGCGGGCAGAGTTCACGGTGGCCGGGCGCCGGTCGCTAAGCTGGTCGCTAAGCTGGTCGCTACGCTGCACGCCTCTTCTTGACGTCGTCGCTATTATTATTATTATGGCCACGCTCCATCACCGAGGGAAGCCTCCAGACTCGTTTTGAGGAAGGCTTCGCCAAGTCGGCGACGTCGCTAAGTGCAATACACTTGAGCCATTTGCAGGTCATCATCTTTCAGCATTGGGATGTTTGGCCAATGCCAATTCCATTGTTTTAGCTGTGGGAGGAAACAGCAGAACCCGGAGAAAACCAATGCCTAACAAGGGGAGAATACACAGGCGGCACAAAGGGACCTGAGTCTGGAACCCAATCAAGGTTCTTCTTGTTGCGGAGCAACTGTGTTTACAAAATGAGTCTACTGCTGGATGACTCCCTTGCCACTTCATGTCGGTCACGTGGGAGTTGGACCATTTTGGTTCAGTTGGTTGATGCGTCGGTCTGGTCGCTTGTGATGGTTTAGATTTTTAAACTTTCTCCGATCGATGGTCACGACTCCTTGACCCGTGGCCTCGCAGACCGTTTGACATCCTCATCCTCCTCACCATCTTCGCCAACTGCCTCGCCCTCGCCGTCTATGTGCCCTTCCCCGAGGACGACTCCAACCGCAGCAACGCCAACCTGGTACGGCGAGGACTACCAACACCAACACCACCACCAACACCAACACGATCACCACCAACACGATCAACACCAACACAATCACCACGACCACCATCACGACCACCACCACCACGATCACCACCACCACGATCACCACCACCATGATCACCACCACCACAACCACCACTACGACCACGATCACTACCACCACGACAATTGCAATTGTGATGATGACAACGATTGTGATGATGACAACGATTGTGATGGCGATTGCTGACATCCCCATGTGGTAGGTGTAAACCTTGATGCGTGTCATGATGGACGTTGAATTTTAATTTTGGTAATTCAGATTGTAATGATGATGGTGAGTGATGACCGAACGGGCCGTGGTGATGGAGATGCTGCCCACAGCGCGGCTTCTCGTCGCCGGCTGTCTTGTCGCCGGCTGTCTCGTCGCCGGCTGTCTCGTCGCTGCTGCGTGCTGTCCGCACGTTGCCCGTGCTCGGAAATCTCTTCCTTGCCGAGCAAGCCCAGGCCGCTCGCCGCTGTGAGGAGCGAGCGCTCGCTCTACGCTGCCACGTGCCACGCGTCCTCGTTTGTTTTGTGCTCCCCCGGAGCGGTGACCGTGCGACACTGCCTTTGAGAAAAACACGCGGGGCTGAGGAGTTCCATGGATGCCTATGTGTTGAACTTCTTTCGTACCGTACGTAGCCAACCGTGTGCGTCTGTGTGCGTGTCTGCATGCGTGTGTTTGTATATGAGGAGCGATGTGAGGACGTAGTGTGATGTGTACGCATTGCCACTAGGGACACAAAAGGGAATGAGTGCTGGCCACCCACCCCCTCGTGTACCGACCCAGCCTCCATGAGCGCTCCTGCTCGCGAACACTACTTTCGCCAAACGTCTGCTAAGCCGAAGCAGGGCGTCTTTGCCGAGTGATCAATCAACCTGAAGCTAACAATACACCACCGCCGCTTTTCAGAGGACGGCCCTGGAAACTCGCACCATAAAAATACTTCTGACATGAATTCAGTTGTATTCTTATCTCGCGTACAGTACATAGACATCACTTTGACATGTCCTTCTTTGTGAGGCTGTGGGTCTCTATGAGAATCAGTGGGTCTCTATGTAAGTCACTGGTAACTACCATGAGATCATAGACTCACTGTAGCGGCCCGGCTCGGCGTGTCGGAGCCGCAAGGCCTCCTACGCGTTACGTGTTGTATTTTTCATTTCCATGAATTCAGCCGACGTTCAAATCGCAACCTCCCTCCTCTCCCTCTCTCTGCATCTCCTCCCCCCCTCCGCTATTTGTGGGAGCCCTCGCTCTAAACTTAGTGCGAGCGTGGAGCAAAGTCACGCCCAGACCGATAGCGCTTCCCAACCCCCCTGCCAGCAGTGCTGTCCATGTGGGTCTCTGTGCGTGTCTATGGGCCTCTATGCGAGTTTATGGGTCTCTGTGTGAGTCCGTGGGTCTCTATGTGAATCTATGGGCCTCTATGCGAGTTTATGGGTCTCTGTGTGAGTCCGTGGGTCTCTGTGCGAATCTATGGGCCTCTATGCGAGTTTATGGGTCTCTGTGTGAGTCCGTGGGTCTCTATGTGAATCTATGGGCCTCTATGCGAGTTTATGGGTCTCTGTGTGAGTCCGTGGGTCTCTGTGCGAATCTATGGGCCTCTATGCGAGTTTATGGGTCTCCGTGTGAGTCCGTGGGTCTCTGTGCGTGTCTATGGGTCTCTATGTGAATCTATGGGCCTCTATTCGAGTGTATGGGTCTCCGTGTGAGTCCGTGGGTCTCTGTGCGTGTCTATGGGTCTCTATGTGAATCTATGGGCCTCTATGCGAGTTTATGGGTCTCCGTGTGAGTCCGTGGGTCTCTGTGCGTGTCTATGGGTCTCTATGCAAATATGTGGATCCCTGTGATTCTATAGGCCTCTATGTATGTGTAATGCGGGCGTAAATGGGCGGGGCGGATATGACGATCCGAGAGGGAGGAGTCAGGGTGACGTGGGGGAGAAGTTATAGCGGGGAGACAGGAAGCTATCTGGGTCAGTCGGGGGAGTGAAGGGTGGTGAACACGTTGGGTGGTCGCCGTGCCTCAGCCTGGTGGCTGAGGGGCTCATGACGGCGCCAGCCAGCGGGGTGGAAGAGAGAGTGGAGGATTGAGGTAGGAAGTGGCGAGATAGCCACAGAGGCCACGAAGGGCTGAGGTAGGAAATGGCGAGATAGCCATAGAGGCCACGAAGGGCTGACATTGGGAGGTGGCGAGATCGCCACGCACGGAGGAACAGGGAGCAGCGATGGAGCTGCTGGGGGAGCAGCCAGAGGGCTGTACCAAGAGCCTGCAGCGGAGCTGCAGGAGCGTGGAAGGCTACGGGAGCGAAGGCAGATGTGGGGCTGCCAGGGAGAGAGTCTCAGGAGGAGTGCCGTGTGGGAAGGAGAACGCGAACCCCAAATAAAGGACACGGAGTCAGCGAGAAGTGTCTGAGTCCTTTTTATTACATATGTAGTCAGGTCTCAAGTAAATCTAAGGCTCGAAATTAAGTCCATGTCTCTGCGAGCCTTTCGGCCTCTATTGAAGTGTATCGGTCCCTTTGTGAGTCCGAGTCTCACTGTTATTATCATTGTACTGTTACTATCATTGTAATGATAGCGTAATTATGATCATGATAATAGCAATTCAATCTTGTAACTCGTGACCCGTATACAGGAGGGGGCCCTGCATTCGGATATTTGGACAATCGCTGTTGGAAGGAGGTGTCTGGATTCGTGTTTGGGAACCCGATAACCTGGGGGGGGGGGGGGAACCTTCCGAGAGGTTTACTCAGCGGCTCTTGTCTAACTTTCATCTTTTTGCTTTTCGTTTTTGTGATTGTGGTGACTCAGGGAGGTCCCTCTTACAAACGAAAATACTGTAATCTGGTCAATCTGAATTATTCGTTAAATAAATCTCTACGTGGTCCACCAACCCTCGCCTCCAGTGCACTGGATGGCAGACGGCGCAGACCCCTTCCAGCGCTCGCATTTTATGAAAGGGATTCACGAAATCTCTCTCCTCCTCCCCCTCCTCCCTCCTTCCCTCTCTTCCACCTCCTCCCTCCCTCAAATTGTTCCCACAAGTGCAGCGAGGATGGCGAGCCAGATATGGCTTTTTTCTGCATGGTGGGAGGGTGAGTGGGTGGGGAGCGGGTGGGTGGGTGGGTGGGTGGAGAGCGGTAGGGTAGTGGTTAGCGTACTGCGCTACGAACCCGGAAATCAATGCTCGTTCACGTTCAAAACCAGTGAGGATTATCTGAACCGGTCCTGGGCCTCCACTAGGTCGTATCAGCCTCAAACGAGTACCTGGTGTAGTGGTGTGTTAACATCGCCACTGAAGAGACAAAGGCGGCCGGGCTTGTGGGTGGCCATCCGCCCTCTCGAGTGCCGTGCCTGCCTTTTCGTAGGTGCTACTCGCAAACAGCACTTGCCCCACGAGTCTGTCGAGGCAATGCGGGGGTCTTTGTCTTTTGGTTGGGTGGGGATGAGGGGGTGGAGGAGAAGTGCCGTGGCGGGGGTGGCAGCGGCAGCATTAATTAATTATTTAATCGGTATCCGGGTTGTGTTTTTGCCGCTCTCCACTTTGCTCGCCGCTCGCATCAAAGCGGCGGCAGCAGCAGCAGCAGCCGCGAGGTTCGCGGCGCATCTCAGAGCCCCCGACACCGCGGGGCCCGGGCCTCCTGCGGGGTTTCACTCCGCTCTGTGTGTGGGCGATGGCGCTGATTGCGCCTAATCATCTGACCACGTTTGTGTCGTGGGGCCCTTCCACCAACCCGACGCAACCAAACGCATGGAATGGTCGCGCGTGTGCGCAGGGGGGCAGCGACGGCGCTGAGTGCGATCCTTGCCACCGCGTCTCGCTCGCGCAAGGCTCGTGCGTGACCAGAGCCCGCCTACCCCACGTGGACATTCCACGTGCTTGGCTGCTTGGCTGCGTGTCGGGTGGTGGAGGGTTCTTTTTGACGTACAATTGATCAGATCGTTACGGGGCCTCACTCCCAAATCAGCTACGGCACGAGATACTCGCCCTGCAAACGATGCGCTCTCCCCGTGCATCATCTCGGTTTCGTTCAGATCACCGTCTCTCTCTCTATGGGGTGAATAAAATTGGTACCACTTTGTGGGACGTTGGTGAGGTTTGTTTCGTGACGGGTATGGTGCCGGGAGTAAGAATGTGGAATTTTCACTCCTGGCTGAGAAGGGCCGCCAGTCGGAGCTCGCGGCTCCAGAGGAAATGCGAATGGAGCGACGCGTGGAACATCACTCGTCATCATTGCCTGGCCACGTCGCACACGGGTTAATGGGTCACCGAGAGATGCATGAAGCTCGCAACCCGCTGGGATGTGGGGTGACAGTACAGCAAGGGCGTCCGTGAACCCGGCGTGTGCGGTGGACGTCCTCTGGGTTTCCCTCCATAGCTAAGAGGCACTCTCTCAGTGTAACCGGTATTGGGCCAAACGTTCCAATGCTGCAAAATAACCTGCAAATCACTCAATTAGGACCACACACAGCAGCAGCAGCAGCAACATCGCCGCCCCCCTACTGTGAACACTTGGCAGGACTCTCCTGAAAAGGAGTCTTGAGACTCATTGAGGCTTTCCTGGGTAAACAGGCTTAATAATAATACTACTCGAGTACGACAACATTCACCACAGCGCTGTCCCATCCCCCACTGTACATGCAGCGGAGCGTGAGTCAGGCTTTGCCTGTGGGAGATGGCGAGAATGTCTGCTCGGGTTTATCCCCAAACTTGGTTCGCTCGACTCGAGAGCTTCCCCAGAAACAATTATTCGGGTGTCACAGTCGAAGGTCAAAGCCATCGCTGCTTACCCCGAATCATCGCGCACCCACCACCTCCCACCACCACACTCCCCGCAGACCCCCGGGAGGGAGAGACGCCTCTGGCTTCCAGGAGAGCCCTCCCGTTGTGGTGGTTGTGGTGGTGGTGGTTGTTGTTGTTATGTCGTTGCCAAGCGCCGGCCCAA